GTAAAAAGAAGTGAGGCGGACACCACTTGGGAGACCCAAAACACAAGAAAAACAAATAAACAAACAAACAAAAGAAGCTCCCTTCTCAACTTTCTCCAACAACACAATTGAAGATAATAACTTCACTTTGATAGTAAACACCAAGGCAGAAGCTGTCATACACAATCTTGTGATTTTTTCCTTCTTTTCTTAAAACCGAAGTTTTTTAGATAATAACTTCAACCAGACGGGTTAAAAAATTCAGCTGGGAATATAAGAGTGACAAATCCCCTAATTTTTCAAAAATAAAAAAACTACCTTGAAACAAAAAAAAAATTATCAATCTTTTAAATCACAATGTTGTGATTTTTCTTTCTTTTCTTAAAACCCAAGTTTTTAGATAACCACAAGGGTAGCTACAAAAAGTTCAGCTGGGAACGTCAAGAGTGAAAAATCCGCTAATTAGTTTAAAAACAAAAGCTATCTTAAAAATAAAACAATGATAAATCTTTTACATCGCATAAAAACGAATAAGATCACCTAATACCTTCAGTTCAAGCAATCTTGTCATCTGTCTGGTCCACTACTTTGCGTTGTCCAACATCAAAGAAACGGTAGAACACAAAATCAGCCTTTGGTTGCGAATTTCCAATATTCTTAGAAATGCAAACGACATTGCATTTTCCAACTATAGCTTCCTGGTGCAAATAAGCCTCAAAACGTCAGAAAAATAGACAAAACCTTAAATGATAGAAGAAACAGCCACAAGGACTCAAAACGGCAGAAAAAAATAGCCAAAAGTCTTCAAAACAACAAGAGAAAAAACTTATCAAAAGTTAGTCTAAATAACAGTATATTAGCTTAAAGCAAATGACAAAGATAAGTTTCAGAATCCAAAAATTGCCAAAGGATTGATATTTGCAACACCTATACCAAAAACGACGGAACAACAGCCGATAATTTTGAAAACGATAGACATCAAAATAGCCAACAATACTAAAAATGACAGCAAAAGTATTTAGAATCCGAAACTCAGAAAAATAAAAATATTGAAAACGACAACGAAATAGCCAACAATACTATAAACGGCAGAAGAATATCCAAGAAATATTCAAAACGATGGGGAAAGGATTCAGAGCCGAAAGCTTACGAGAGGATTAACATTGGCGAAGCCCTTGCCGTCACCGCACGCCAAAAACAACTCGTTCTCCTTGGTTTCGATCCCTTCCAAGAACTTCTGAATCTCGCGGGAGCGGAAGAACCACTGGACCTTGACTTTCCTCGACTTGTCGCGATTCTCCCAGACCTTGATTAGCTTCCCTATGTGAGGCACGTCGCAGCTTTCGTTTTGGAGATAAACGGTATCGTTGAGAGCGTACTGCACACCATCGAAGGTGAAGGACTCGTAGAACTGTACGTCCTTCTTCTTTCCACCCATGCCTCGCTTCCTGCCCCACGCAAACTCATAATTCAAATCGTCTTTCCCCATTGGCGCCGCCATTGATGGTGACGGACAAAGAGGGCAATGGCTGCGCAGTGGACGAGGCAGTAGTTTGAAAATAGAAAAGAAAACCCTCACGCTAATTTGGGAATTTTTTTCCCAATTTTTGTAAGAAATACTCAAATAAACTCAATCCCAATTTTTTCACGGACTTTTTATATCTTCACTATTCGGTGGTCATCAAAATACACTTGTAATTAGATACCCAATTCTAAACTTTATTTTTAAAGAAAAACTTAACAAATAAAGACAGAAATTAAAATAATAAAAAAATAATAAAACAAAATGTTTCTATTATGATTTTGTTTTTTATTTTAGATAGTAAATGCTGTAAATCTATACGGAATGAATCTAAAAAAATCTTTGAAATAAAATATGAAGTTTTCAAAAGAGAAGAACAGAAGGAGAAATACTGCAATATAAATTACATAGAAGTATATAAGAAAATTAAGTGAATATTTTTTGTGTGAGGACATACTATATTTATAGACTTCTTTTAAACCTAGACTGAAAAGATATAAAAATAAATAAAAGATATAATTTTATACCAAATACTTATTATTTAGTCTATTGCTATCATACGTGTGTGTGTGTATATATATCAAAATAATATTTTCTTAATATTTTAACGATATTTTTAATATATAATAAATAAATTATTAGTGAAAATCTAATAAAAATAGAAAAAAAAAGTAATAAAATAAAAACCATTATATGATAATATAATATAATTATTCACAACAATAATGTATAATAAATATTTAAAATATTTGTAAAGTGCTTTACAAAATATAATATTTTTGTGAATTGCGATTACTGTTTGATTAATTATTAATAAAAAAATCTGTTTATGAAACTTAGAAGTTAATATAAAGGAAGTAAATAAGTGATGTACATGGGCAATATTTAAGTAATAAACTACTTTTGTAATCAACAAAACTCAGGACTTAATTAATGTAGAAATAATATTATTACTTAAGTACAGCTTATTGGAATAATAATATTAAAATAATATGATATAAAAATTATCAAATAATATTTAGTGATAAAACATTTCAATATATGGAGTTTTAAATAATAATTCAAACAAAAAGTAAATTAAATATTATAATAAAACATGTTAATATGCAAAATTAATTAATAAAATTAATCATCAATGTATTATTTTGAAATGTAACGTTTGTAACAATGTAAATTAAAGTTAGTAGATGTTTAAATATATCTTAAAAATAGTTTTAAGAGAGTATATGAAAAAAATAATAATAATAATATTAATCATAATAATAATAATAATATTATTATTATTAGGTTTAATAGTCTTTTTGGTCTCCACTTTCGTTGTCTAATCTCAATTTTGACCCCATTTTTAAAAGTGTTTGGAATATGTCCACACTTAGATAAATTTGCGTCTAATGTGTCCCTTCCGTTAAGTATCACCAAACGGAGTTAATGCATTAATGATGTGGCACCAGTTATGTGAAACGTGTCAGTATATTGATTTTGTGAATAATGACGTGTAAAGGAGTAACAGAGAATATGATTTTTAATTAAGTTAAGGTTTTATAATTTGGGGAAAATGTGATTTAGGGGTCATTTATGCGAGTTGAGGGCAATTGGATTTCTGCGAGAGAAGATAGAGTCGTTGTCGCACTTAAGCTACATTGCGAAGACAGAGATCGTGTAGAGATCGTTGTACGTTGGATTTGGACTTGCATTTTCAGAAATCGTGTTGATGGGTATTACAAAAAGCACGACTCCAAGGTGCGTTTATGGTAGCTTTTGAGTTTAGCTTTTGTTGTTGTCGATGTGGTCCCCCCATAAAAGGGTGTTACCTGTGTATGCTTTGTCTGTTTACTGTCCCCCATTATCTGCGCATGTGCTATGAATAGTGTTGCAACATTGTGGTTGTGGTTCCCCTACTGTTGTGTGGACAAAATTTGTTTATTGTTGTAATTGTTTTTGCTTTGTTTTACTTGTTTTTTGGGTACATAGCATTTGGGTTAAGCATAGATTAACTGTAAACATTTTTTATATTAGTTTAGATGGCCAACTCAGATGTTGAAATTTTCTTTCACCATGCGAGAAAATTTGAGAATAATGGGACATTCAGATACCACTATGGTCAAACCACAACTTTAAAAATTGATCTAGATCGTTGGAGTTATTTTGAAATATTAACCATTCTTAAGGAGATGGGTTATAGGAATGTAAAGGAGTTGTGGTATTCATTGGGTCGTGGTCCTGTTTTAGAAGATTGTTTGGAACTGTTATCAGATGACAAAGGTGCATGTCATGTAGTCAATATTGTTATGTTGAGTGGTTAAGCTCACATTTATGTTGTACACATGGTCTTTGAGCCTTAGTATCTTGTAGAGTTGGAATACTCTTCTCAACCAGAAATTGAGAGACATACTGATGAAGCAGAAGTTGAGATAGAGAGGGCTGAAAAGGAAGTTGAGGGAGAGGTTGCTGAAGCTGAGGTTCAGGCAGTGGGTGAAGCAGAGGTTCAAGCAGTTGGTGACGTAGAGGTTGAGGGAGTGTGTCATGTAGAGCCTGAGGTAGAGGCTGAAGTAGAAGTAGAAGCTGCGATAAAAGTTGAAGTTGAGGCACTGGCTGATGTAGATAAGGTGGTAGAAGATGAGGTAGAAGTTGAAGTTGAGGCAGTGGCTGATGTAGAAGAGGTGGTAGAAGATGAGGTAGAAGTTCATGTTGAGGCAGTTGCTGATGTAGATAAAGTGGTAGAAGGTGAGGTAGAAGTTGAAGTTGAGGTAGTGGCTGATGTAGAGGGTGATGTAGAAGGTGATGTACAAGTTCAGGTAGAGGGAGTGGCTGAGGTAGAGGGTAATGATGTTGAGGGACAGGGTCAGGCTGATGTAGAAGCTGATGAGTATGATGTTACAAGTTGGAATGGGTCCGAAGAGGATGTCTTGAATGACGATGAAGATGAAGTGGAATGTGATATATTTGAACCTATTAACCAAGTAGAAAATGGTGGACCTAGGGGTTTATCCGAAAGTGATTGGGAATCTGAGAGTTTGAACAACATTGTTGAAATTGACAACACAGATGATGATAGAGATGGTTACGGGGATTTCGAGAATTTTTCAATGCCCAAAAGTATGGAAAATATAAATGGGAAGTGGATACGTATTTCCCTGACAAAAAAGATTTTACAAAAGCTATAAGAACGTATGGAGTAGAGAATGGAAGGAAATTAAAAGTTTATAAAAATGACAAAAGAAAGGTATGTGTGAGATGTTCTGGTGCAAAAGGAAAATGTTCATGGTATGTATACTGTGCATATAAGGCATCTAAAAATACATGGCAGCTAAGGAAGATTATAGACAGGCACACATGCAGTAGGGAATTTAACATCCGATTAATGACTTCAAAATGGTTGAGTGGGAGGTTAGAGAAGAGTATAAAAGAGAATCCAAATATTAATCTATATAACCTCCAAAATAAAGTTTCTAAGTGGAACATTGGTGTTTCTCGGTCTACAACGTGTAGGGCAAAAGCAATGGCTTTTAAACAAATAGAAGGTGATTTTAAAGAACAATATATAAGACTCTATGACTACGCAAACGAGTTGCTTCGGGCTAATCCTGGTTCAACTATCAAACTTAAGGTTGAACCTAATGAGGACAATAGAATTTTCAAGAGAATGTATGTATGTTTGAAGGGTTGTAAGGACAACTTCGTGTCTTGTAGGCCTATTATAGGTTTAGATGGTTGTTTCTTAAAAGAAAAATATGGAGGTGAGTTGTTAACTGCGGTTGCAAGAGATGGGAATGAACAAATGTGTCCTTTGGCATATGCTGTTGTTGAGGTGGAGAATAAGGACAATTGGCAGTGGTTTTTAGAATTGCTTATTGATGATCTTGGTGGTCAGGAGCTTTATTCAACAATCACATATATTTCAGATCAACAAAAAGTGAGTAACGTTGCCCATGTCTTGTATTATAACTTTGAAACCTTCATGTGTTGTATTATAAGTTCTATAGCTTCATCTTTTTACTTTGATAGGGACTTGTTCTAGCATTACAAGAACTTCTACCTGGTGTAGAGAACAAATTTTGTGTGCGCCACATTTATGCAAATTTTAGGAAGAAATTTCCTTGTCATATTTTAAGACGTCTATTATGGAAAGCAACATCATCAACACACCCTCAAGCATGGGAGACAGTGATGAGAGAAATTAAAGATGTCAATCCAGATGCCTTTAAACACTTGCTAGCAATTCCACCAAGGTATGTTCAAAACTTGGTTGTTTGTAAATCAGTTTTTTATAAGTAATTTATTTTAAATTTTGTGCTGATATATTTGACTTCAAATTTGTTTAATTAGATATTGGTCACGTTCAAGGTTTACAGGTAATGCTGTGTGTGACACATTAGTCAATAATATGTCAGAAGCTTTTAACAGTGTCATAGTACATGCAAGAGGCAAGCTCATCATCATAATGATGGAAGACATTCGTATCTACATCATGAAGAGATGGGCAACAAATAGACAGAAAATAACAACATTTGAAGGTTGTCTTTGCCCAAAGGTTAAAAAAAGATTTGAAAAGGAATTGCACAAGACGAAATTTTGGATACCTAGGTATGTGCACATCACCACATCAGAATCTGGACTTCATAAAGATGTTTTAACATTTTGACTTCAAATACTAATTTTAATCTGTTTGGTTGCAGTTGGTCAGGTATGANCATCATCAACACACCCTCAAGCATGGGAGACAGTGATGAGAGAAATTAAAGATGTCAATCCAGATGCCTTTAAACACTTGCTAGCAATTCCACCAAGGTATGTTCAAAACTTGGTTGTTTGTAAATCAGTTTTTTATAAGTAATTTATTTTAAATTTTGTGCTGATATATTTGACTTCAAATTTGTTTAATTAGATATTGGTCACGTTCAAGGTTTACAGGTAATGCTGTGTGTGACACATTAGTCAATAATATGTCAGAAGCTTTTAACAGTGTCATAGTACATGCAAGAGGCAAGCTCATCATCATAATGATGGAAGACATTCGTATCTACATCATGAAGAGATGGGCAACAAATAGACAGAAAATAACAACATTTGAAGGTTGTCTTTGCCCAAAGGTTAAAAAAAGATTTGAAAAGGAATTGCACAAGACGAAATTTTGGATACCTAGGTATGTGCACATCACCACATCAGAATCTGGACTTCATAAAGATGTTTTAACATTTTGACTTCAAATACTAATTTTAATCTGTTTGGTTGCAGTTGGTCAGGTATGAAAATTTTTGAGGTCAAACACACTTCAATAATTGGTGAGAAGTATGTGGTTGACTTAGATAAAGTGGAATGCAGTTGCAGAAAGTGGACTTTAACAAGAATCACATGCTGTCATGCACTAGCTGCCATGAATGTTTTGAACATCAATGGAGAAGACTACGTCTCAAATTGGTTTAGAAGGGCAACATACCAAGAAACATATATTCCAATGATATACCCTGTCAACGGTCATCACCTATGGGAAATGACATATCATCCTAATGTTTTGCCTCCACCTAAAAGGGTGTTACCTGGTAGACCAAAAAAGAAGAGAAGGCTATAGGCTTGGGAGCTAAAGAAGGATGACACACAACTAAAGCAAAATGGAACTCGTAACAGATGTTCCATATGTAGACAGGTTGGTCATAAAAGAAATACTTGCCCACAACGTCCAGGACCAAGTTAGCAACCTGGAAGTCAACCAACTACAAGACCAAGTCCGGAACAAGAAAGCCAACCAACTACTGGACCAAGTCAGCAACCACTAAGCCAGCCAACTACACCAGGACTTTAAAAGTTATTTAGAACACTCAGATGTATTTTGACAAGTTTAGCTTAAGTTTAGCTTTTGTTTGGTACAACCCAGTATTGGCTGCTTTGTAAACATTGACATGTAGTTTGAACTTCATTTTGAATTGGGTATTTTGTAAGCTGTGACAATTTCTCAATGACAATTTCTATTTTGGATGTGCATTTGATTTCCAATTTCAGAATTGGATGATTATTCAGAATTGTGATACCAAATTGGATGATTATTATCATGTCATTATCAATGATGTTCATTCCATGTGCATGTGATTACAGGGACATTTTTCTTTGTTGTGATGAATACTCATGTTACAGGTACTCATCTTTGACAGTGAGGACTAAATGTAACTTACATTTTGTTTGTCAGTGAGGGCTACATGTCACTTACCTAAATCTTATGTGATTACAATAAAGTTTTTGATTTGGTGTTGCTTTCGTGTAGAGCACATTCACAATCCATAAATTTATTAGACGTTCAATGAGGATGACACACCACTTTCTCATTTTACTGTCATTTCAATCTAAAGTTCAATTACCTTATCTTCTAAATATCAAACAAAATGTACATTCAAACAATAAATTCAGATGCACAAATTCAGATTTCTCATTGATTTGAAAACATCATATTAAAATATGGCCAAAGTGCTCTTCACAACAAATGACTACTACAACACATCATGGACTTTTAAACAAAATACAAAGAAGGATGATGTTAATCAACCCCATAAAACATAGCATCCAAATCAACATCTTCTCCATTCTCTGAAAACCCATCACAGATTTCTCCAAGCTATTAATCTTCCTCCTTTGACTAGCAAAAGTACTGCCACCATCATCTACATTATCTTCAATACACCATTTAAAGAAATTGCATCCTTTAAGTTCTTCATTTCTTGTCCGTTGTTCAAAGTATTCACTTCATTAACATTTCATTAATAACCAGAACAATTTATCACAAAAATTAAACAACAAACCTTGTAATTAGGGCAGCCCCAGAATTGCTTCCCCTCATTCTTAACTGTTTTTGCCACTCTCAACACAACAACCTCCCCACAATGGCATATTTGCCTTTCAAGGAGTCCTCTGGATGTACCACCACGAGAGCTCCCCCTTGAGCAAGATGAACATCCTTGATTCAAAGACATTGACACAAGAAGGAACCCCAAAATGAGACAACCACGAACCACTTCGCCAACCAACTGCCAACGACGGAAGACCAACTCGCGAAACACGAAGCACCACTCTATTGCCAAAAGACAACACTAACATCCAAATGCTAAAGAACCATAAAAGAAAGAGAACAAGACAAATTTCAAGAAGAACACCCACTATATCGTGTTCGCAACACAAAGGAGAAGACCCTAATTGGTTTTATCTATACCCAAAATCAGATTTCCCCCAAATTATAAAACCCTAACTTAATATAGGGTTCATATTCTCTGTTACTCCCTTACACGTCATTATTAACAAAATCAATATAATGACACATTTCACATAACTGGTGCCACATCATTAATGCATTAACTCCGTTTGCTGATACTTAACGGAAGGGATAAATTACAGGCAAATTTATCTAACTGTGGACATATTCTAAACACTTTTAAAAATGGGGACAAAATTGATATTAGGCAACGAAATTGGGGACCAAAGAGGCTATTAAACCTTATTATTATTAATATTAATCAAAATATAATAATATATTATTGTTATTACGATTTCAAATGATATAAGTAAAAAATATATTTTAAAAAATAAATAAAATAAAATTGAGCACTATTATAGGGATACGATTGTTTTCGACACTAGGTATCACTTGAATATATTAAGATGAGATAAGAAATAAGAATTTTTGCATCGGTTATGAACCAAAACAAAAGGGTCAACATTTTGTTCCAGTTAAAAAAAACTTTAGCAATGAATGAAAAATAAAAAATAAAAAAATTTGTTATTTAACTTTAGTTATGTTAATAACGGAGACTATATACTCTTTCTTATTTTAAAATAAATATTTAATTTTAAGGGTATTTAGTCTCGATTATGATGAGCATTGATGTCAAAGACCCTTAAAATTAAATAATTATTTTAAATGAGAAAGGGTAAATGATCTTATTATGAGCATAATCGAAGTCAAATCCCTTTCGTGGTTTGGTTGTGGGAATAACTAAGCCCATATATCATTTTTTATTTAAAATAACTATTTAATTTTAAGGGTATTTAGCCTCGGTTTTAATGAGAGTCGATGTCAAAGATCCTTAAAATTAAATAATTATTTTAAATGAGAAAAGGTAAATGGTTTAATTAAAAGCATAATCGAAGTCAAATCCCTTTTTATGCTTTGGTTGTGGGAATAGCTGAGTCCATATACCCTTTTTGATTTAAAATAATTATTTAAATTTTAGGGTCTTTGGCATCCGTTCTCACCAGAACCGAGGCAAAAATGACTATTTTGCTTTGGTTATAAGAACAATGGAAGTCGAAAGTTATTTATTCTTTTCAAATATTTTTTCTAAAATGATATTTGGTTTCGATTATGACCTAAACTGAAGTTGAATATCTCTATATGTTTTGGCTTTGGCTATAACCAATGCCTAGTATGGGCGGTCTTTTCTAAATACTTTTTTCATTTATGTTTCATCCTACATATTAAACTTGCCAAAAAAAACCCAACACAAAATACAAGAAACAGAAACAAACATGATATCTTGAACAAAAACATGTATAATATTTTTATAAGTCAATAGATAGTTGTAAAAGTGGTAGATGCTTACAAATTAAGATATTATTATTATAACAATTAAATATTATTGTACATTTTTATTACATATTTTGCACTAGTTTTCCTTAAATAATGAATGGACTTATTGGGAATTGATATGACATTCTTAACTTTCCACACTAAAGACAATGATTTCAATAAATATATAAAAAGACAAAGTTGCAAAGTATTTGATTCAATGTAATTATTACAGTTGAAATACATAAGAAAACACTATATGGGGTGAATAGTATTTTCTAAACTTTTCGCAGAGTATCTGATGATTTTTCAATGGATAACTAAATAAAAATATTCTTCAAACAATGTTATAGAAAAATTAATAAAAGCTTTTAAGAAGGGAAAAACAATAAAACATAATTTTTATACTGGTGCACTCAAACTTGAGCTACGTTCAGTTCTCCCTTAAGAAATCTTAAGAGGTTCCATTAATCTTTTCAAAGATTACACGAGTTATACCTCTCAAGGATTTCACCAAGTATTCTCACCACTCTTGATTTACAAGTATTATTACCACTCCTAGTCCCTTCTCACGACAAGCCAATATCTCCTCATGAGTCAACTTCTTATAATGTGTTTTGGGCGGGGTGGATAGTGTTGTCAGCGATCGTGACGATGGGGTAGGCAACAATAGAGGATCAAAAGAAAGCATAATAGAGAAATGCAAACACAAATGTCAGCATTGGTCATTCAACTTATCCTCCTATAACTTGGCCAGAGTTGTTGCATATGTCAACGACTAAGGTTGCAATGCTTGAACTTCATGACGTATATCCGAGTTTAGCCCAAAAATAAAATTTCTCAGTAAAAAGGTGGCAGGGAGACCAAAAATGTGATTAAAAAGCCATTCAAATTCATTTAAGTAATCTTGAACCTTACCTTTTTGAGTCAATTTGAAGAGAGAGCCCCATGGGTCGTCATAATACGAAGGGGTGAAACGAACCTTAAGGCTGACAAAAACGCATGCTAAGAGGACATATGTTGTTTCAGTGCAACCATTGAAACCAGCTAAAGGCTAGACAATCCATGTAAAAAGTAGTTATCTGAAGCTGGTCTGCCTCTAGTGTTTGATGATACTCGAAGAACTGGGAGATCTTAAAGATCTAGCCCATTGGATCAGTTCCATCAAATCGGGGAATGTCTAATTTCAAGTAAGGAGAACAACGATCATCGAACTTTGGAGAGGGAAGGTCACATAAGGTAAGTTGGGATGCAATGACATCCAAATGGTTGATGATTTCACTTTGGTTGATGGTGAGATTTAGGATGGCTTCTTTCAAATTGGTGATGGATTTCGAACGGGCATTGTGGTATGTCATGATCGCCTCTCAATGAAAGCACCAAAATGATAGAGAAAATGCATTGATTTGAGGTCAAGGAGCTTCCTACAAAAGAAAATAAAGAAAAGGGACACAAATTGATGGAAACTAGTTTTAAGTTTCTTAATTCTGCACCAAATCCTGAAAATATTTCATCATCTTTCCATTGGGGAAATCAGCTGGGTGTCAAAGATATTGTCACACTTTCTTCCATGTGCATGCCAAGTCAGTTTTTGTATCTCTTTAATAACAACAATCGTTCAACCTAGGAATTACGGGAAGGTACCATAACACTTTAGTGAGGGGACCTTATATTTCTTCATCAACATTATTCTCATCAAGTTTCTTTTTAAATTGAGACAACCCACACGTTGGACAAACCTTCAATGCAACAAACTTGTTTCTGTATAATACACAATCATTAGGACAGTGCATGTATCTTTTTGTACTGCAACGCATTGGACAAAGAACTTTTCTTGCCTCGTTGTTATGATTAAGTAACATGTTTTTTTCTGGAAGCATCTCCCTCAACAATTCCAACAACTTTGTGAAACTTTTGATCAGTTATTCCATTTCTTGCTTTTAAAATGAACAATTTTAAAGTTGCACATAATCGTGAAAAGGTAGTACATCTTGGGGACAATTGTTCCTCTAAGTTAGACT